AGTTCGTCGAGCGGTTCCATTCCCCCTTAAAACGTTTGTCGGTTTATTTTAAAAATCGAAAATAAAAATTTACGTTAAGTGGGCCGTAATTTTTTAATTTTTTTATCTATCTTTGTTTTTCACGTGGCCAATCGATGCGGAATCGTTTGTAGGTCACAAATAATCCAATTAGTATAATTGTCGGATCATTATTTCAATAAAATAAGCAAAAAACGTATTTGGTGCATTTAACTTCTAAATCTATTTTCTTGTAGATATCAATTATCACTGCCGGCACCGAGGACGATCCAGTCATTTACATTTATTTTTCGCACCAGTTACCGAAAAATGTTCTAATTACTTTATTTGTAACCTACAAACGATTTCGAATCGATTAAGTACCAATTAAATAAACATTTATCATTAATTAGGATTTTTGCGGTCAACATCCCGTGGTCATATGACCGTCCCGCGTAAAATGCACCAAATACGTTTTTTGTTTATTTTATTGAAATAACGATCCGACAAATATACTAATTGGATTATCTGTGACCTACAAACGATTCCGCATCGATTGGCCACGTGAAAAACAAAGATAGATAAAAAAATTAAAAAATTACGGCCAACTTAACGTACATTTTTATTTTTGATTTTTTGATTAAACCGTTAACCGACAAACGTTTTAATTAATCCTACAAATACCTACAAACGACCTACAAACGATATGCAAAAGAAAAAGTTCAAAAAGTCAAAGTGCGCCGGCCAAGTTCACGGAGGTGCTGTAGTCTCTGAAAAAGTTTAAGTTGGGATAAAGCAGTGCGCACGAGACCTAGATACAGTTGGCCGGACAATTTTAATTTATTTACTTTTGATAATAGCAGATCGATTGGTGGTCATTGGTGGCCCACTTAGAACATTTAGTGGTCAACCGTTCTTTTGTAATTAATTAATCAAGAGACTCGGTCTAGTCTCGCATTCTAGGAATCAAGGGTTCTGAATTGATTGCCACCAAATTCAATACGATTCGTGTACAGGATCAGGACGTATTCACATGGCGAGCGAGATGATTTTATTTCAGGTCCGTCGTCGTCGTCGTCGTCGTCATCGTCGTCGTCGTCTTCGCCCGTCCATCGCATTTTTTACACGACAGATGGCACTGACTGCTGTGCCTTCTTTACCTATTTGTACTCTCTGTATAGTGCTGGTAAGTTACGAATGCACAACACAATCAAATACACTTCATAGTGAAGCTACCGTTCATACCGAATTTCCAGTTAGTATAAGGGTGCTTTCACAACAGTATAGAATTATTCAGTTTTTAATAGCATCCATGTGGAGCGCGCGTATATGGGTGAATGTATATGTGTGCTTCGGCATAGTTCCTCGTACTTCAGGTGACAATTTGTCCAGGTATTGGTTCGCTCCGTAGTTTTCCGTATCTAGATGGCGGACGTGGAATTCCAGGGTCTCCAGATGTTCCGCTCCGTAGTTTCTCGTATCTAGGTACTGGATGGGGAAGTCCAGGGTGTCCAGGTATTCCGCTCCGTAGTTTCCTATGTCCAGGTGTTGGATGTGGAAGTCCAGGGTGTTCAGGTGTTCCTTTCCGTAGTTTCTCGTATCTAGGTACTGGATATGGAAGTCCAGGGTGTCCAGGTATTCCGCTTCGCAGTTTTCTGTATCCAGGTGTCGGACGTAGAAGTCCAGAAAAGTGTGCAACAAGCTTTGGCGCTTCGCTCAAACTATAGTATCCTCTCTGTTGTTCGCACGGCCTGAGGTACGTAAATATTCCAGCACACTCTCCTCTCTTACGTTCACCACACGGCTTCAACAATCTGGACACCATTAACGACGCTTATATACATTGAAGATTACATTTTCTTTAAAAATTTGTATATGTTTTTATGCATTTCTAGAAAAAGGGACTTACAAAATAAATTTATATCCCATTTAACATTTTCGGCAACGCAATATATTTTTCTGATTAGCAACATCATAATACATTTACATTTTATATCTGTGACAATATAGATCTCAGTGCTTAGAGCTTCTATGTCCCGTTGACCAACAAAAACTTGTGATATCCGCCAAAAATCACTTACGTGTAAAAAACTACGCCAAGTACAGGAGTGCTGTGTATTTCTCTAATAAAAAGTATTGATATCAGATTATTGAGGCCAAGTACATAAGTCACTACATGTTTGCCTATTATATGATCTAGTACTAGCCCATCATTTT